AAATGTTCAGAGATCTACAAGGCTGACCCCAACTAACAATCTAGCAATAGTCGAGAGGCTACCCTTAAGTGCCCTTCTCTGATAATGACATCGATGGCTGCCTTATATGCCATCCTAGAGCCTTTATCCAGTAGCTGATGGAAGCAGAAGCAGGCACCCACAGCTAAACACTGAGTTGAACTCCTGGAATCCAGTTGCAGAGAGGGAGGAGTGATGAGCAAAGGGGTCAAGACCAGGCTGGAGAAACCCACAGAAACAGCTGACCTGAACAAGGCCGAGCTCATGGAACCCAGACTGATAGCTGGGAAACCAGCATAGGACTGTTCCAGATCTCCTGAATGTGGGTGTCAGTTAGGAGGCCTGGGCAATCTATGGGACCTCTGGTAGTGGATCAGTATTTATTCCTAGTACATGAATGGACTTTGGGAGCCCATTCCTTATGGAGGGATACACATGGGAGATATGACAGACTCTGAAGATCCCCTATGGAAGGCCTCACCTCCCTAGGGAGCAGAAAGGGGATGGGATAGGGGGTTGGTGAGGGGCAGGGAAGGAGAGGAGGGAGAGGTAACTGGGATTGACAAGTAAAACAAGCTTGTTTCTAATTTAAATAAAAAAGGGGGGATGAAAAACAATGTTGTAGAAGTAACAAATTACTATCTGAGTGGATTTAGGCCCTATCTATGAAATGGAACTCATGCTTGATATTGCTGTGGTGGCCAAGAATCTAATATTAAATAAGCCACCAACCTAGGAGAAAGCCTAGGATGTTAGCGATAAAATGACTCCAAATGACATTCTGTTACACCCATAGATCAGAGTCTCACTCAGCCAGTCTCAGAGAAACTTCCTCATATAGTAAATGGGAACTAATACAAACCTCCACACCTGGATAGGATGGATGATGTCAAGGAACAGTGTTTTGGAAGTATGAACGTAATTGGCCCCCATAATCTCATAGGGAATGGTACTCTTAGGAGATGTGGCTTTGTTGGAGTGGGTATGGCCTTGTTGGAGATAGTATCTCACTGTGGGGGTGGGCTTTGAGGTTTCTCATGCTCAGAATACCGCCCAGTGCCATAGTAGACTGCCTGTTGCCTGAAAGATATAGGACTCTCAGCTCTAGCACCATGTCTGCCTGCACGTTGCCATGTTCCCTGTTATGATAATGGAACTGTAAGTGAGCCACCCCAATGAAATGTTTTCTTTATAAGAGTTGCCCTGGTCATGGTGTCTCTTCATAACAATACAAACCTTAACTAAGACAAGTGTCTTACAAATGAAACAGGACTGACACGTGTATGAGCTCACAGAGACCGTGGTAGCACGCATAGGGGCTACATGGATCCAAAAGCAGAGTGGGCCCCAGCACTGAGATAGGGAAGTAGACATGAGCTCCTATCCCTAACCAAGAGGCTATTTTCATGAACAACTGCTAAGCAAAGACAAAATTAGTTACTTTAAGGGAGTTTTAGTATGTATACAAACTACACTTAATGGAAGCTGAATGTCCAGCAGTAGATGGCCAACACAAAATGAATTCAAAGGTATTTTTTCTCTCATGTTGCTTTGTTAGTGCCTTTTTTCCTTATCATTCCAGTCTTCTGCGTGTATATTATGGTTTCTGATTTTTGTGTTTTTATGGGTTGTGTGTGTGTGTGTGTTTCTCATGCTGTTTTTTCAAATTATTTTTGGAAGTTTTCTTTTCTTTTGTCTTTTTCATTTGCCTGTTCATTTTCTTATGAATGAGAAAAAGAAGGCATGGAGTTGGAAGGGTTGGAAGATGGGGAGGATCTTGGAGGAGATAAGGGAGGAGAAACAGTGATCAGAATACATTGTATGAGTCGTGCGGTGGTGGAGCACCTTTAATCCCAGCCCTCGGGAGGCAGAGGTAGGCTTATGAACATGTTTGTTCTTCAGAGCCCTGCTGGGGCAGATACATAGTAAGTGGTGAGTCATGTCTGCTGAGTAAAATGTACTTAGTGTGTGGAATACTACAGGACTACCCAAATGGGTCCATCTGAAAGAGCTCATTTACCAAGCATTGTATTTGCTTTGCAAGCATGCTTTCAAGCCAGTGGAGAGGTGTGTGTAGTTCCAGCTACTGTGGCAGGACTGTTTACACCCTAAGGTTTGAAGCTAGTCTAGACAACATGGCAAGACTTTTGTTTTTAAAACAAACAAAACAGTATGATTCCATTTAGAGCATTGCAAGGTGTCCTTCCAAGTACACATCTATTAAGACGCCAGTGCTGGCTATCCCTCCAAAGACACCTCCTGCGCTCTTCATCTGCATGCTTAGCTTGTACCATATTAGTTCCTTTTTTTCTGATACTTACTTGGCTTTACTCCCATACAATATTCAGAACTAAATATATGTTACTTAAAACTGTATTTGTATCTTTCCATTACTTCTTTTTTTTTGGCGGGGGAGGGTGTTAAGCAGTTTTAGGTTCATAGCAAAACTGAGATGCAGCACAGATCTTCCCAGATTCCTCTCTGTAAAGAGCTTCTTTTCTTTGTGGTGCTTCTCAGTGTTCCAGGTCTATCCTATACTTTCCCCATCCCAATTCTTCTAGATCAGTAATTTCCCCAATGAACAGTCCTGATTCATTTCCACAGAGAATGCTGTTAGAAACTAAGGTCTGGCTACCAGTTCATTGCTACTGGAGTATCTTCAATTATAAGTCCTGGCATCTTCAAAGCAAGGCCATGCACACATGTATTCTAACCTATGTATAGACACACAAAAAACCCACCGTGTATAGTCATTTGTATGCACGTAATGGCTACACCAATCACTCTCACCAGTTGTCCTTGCTTACCTTTACTGTCTCACTTCAACAGGCAGTACTTGGCTGCCACCACTCACCAGGGTAATTTCAATGTTCTGCCCAGCTCACATATAGCAGGAACACAGCTGCCAGTTTTCCTTTCTTTACCTTACTCATTTTTATCCTTCAACTTGGTTTATTCTCTGTACTCTGTACCACTCAATAAACTTTTATTTTCTTTTTTCCTCCTTTATGACAGTAAGAGTTTTTACTCCCGAGTCCTTAGTTTTAAGTTACTTTACACAAAGCAGGTGCACAATTTTTTTAAAAAGAGCTGAGCATGTAACAAATAAACGAAAACTTCTTTTGCCTGTTATATTAAGCTGAATCAGGAGGGCTTTTCCTAGCCAGTACTAGTATGTTGTTCAGCTTTGAGATGCTGTGCCTGTTCCAATCCTATCATATAATTTAGATTTTTAAACAATTCATCTGACTCCTCCCCACAACTGCTACAATTAAGCCACCTAACCAAATCAGTGATCATAAACTATCACCTGTCCTAAGCATTATCCCCTCTTCCTGTCCTCTCCCTCCCTGCCTGCCCCCTTCTTTGATTTATCAAGACAGAGTTTCTATATATAATAGCACTAGCTGTCCTGGAACTTGCTTTGTAGACCAGGCTGGTCTCAAACTCACAGAAATCTGTCTGCCTATGCCTTCCAAGTGCTGGGATTAAAGGCGTGTGTCAAAAGGCCCAGCTTCTAGACTTTTTGTTTTGTTTTGTTTTAATATGTTCTAGCTATCTAGTGACAAATATTCTTCTATATAATCTAGAAACAGGAACAACATAGTTACTTTGTTTTGTTTTGTTTTGTTTTAGGAGACAGAGTTTCTCTGTGTAGTTTTGGAGGCTGTCCTGGAATTAGCTTTTGTAGACCAGGCTGAACTCCCACAGATTCGCCTGCCTCTGCCTCCCAAGTGCTGGGATTAAAGGCATGTGCCACCACTGTCTGGCTCAGAATCATTACTTTAAGACAAAAATCATACAACTAATAAGAGTTACATCTAAAAATTAAATGGTTGGTTTTAAATTAATTGGTTGAGAGAACCATGAAGGGAACTCAATGTTTGAGAAAAAACATACAAATTTTCTCTTTTCTTGAGTGTGAAAGGCCGAGGTTTAAGAAAAAGAGACAGTAATAGAAAACATATGGAAAAGACTGGTAACAAATAGGAATCTTGGCCCAACTGTGGTCTGCCACGTTTCACATACCAATGTCTCAAATAATAGGCTAGATGTTTACAATATTGCCAAAGCATCCTTGATACTGTATACTTTTCTCAAATCTGAAATATAAAAATAAATCCTGTAAGTTTCTTATAAAGTCTAATAGAAAACACTATTTTGAAGAAACAAAAATGAACTTCTTAAGCTTGAAAGAATCTCCTTCCAAAAAATCAACATCCAATGCCAGGAGACATAGCTAACTCTGTTTAACTATGAAAACATTAGCACAAAAATTTCTCCTGCAGCAAGCAAGCTTGCTGGCTGGAACTCTTAAGGAGGGTCCCTCAACCACAGGAAAGTTTCTAAATCCACAAAACAAAATAATAGAAGTTATTAGGCAGTAAAAGCTTTTCATTCTATTCCATCGAAAGACACATGTATTATAAAACTACTTTGTGTACTTGGGAAGAAGGCAAATTGGAGATATGGCTTGGTAGTGCAGCATACCAACTATCACAGACAAGGGAATTCATAAATGGAAAAGTTGTGCCTTTAATCTTTGAAATCGATACAATCTACTGCATTTTCAAAGTAAACTAGATGTGAAAAGCTGTGTGTTTCCAATTCTGATTCCTAGCTTCAAAAAAGGGAAGCACTGATGTGAATGCATGCCTCTATCAACCCAGGGACCGGATACGATCCTGAATTCCACCTTAAATTGCTGAGACACTGGGCTCCAGGTCAGTGTGGACTTTAATCTGAAGAATTCTTTGGCATAAAAATGAAAATAAAAACAGTAATCAGTACATGATGTTTCATTTAGTCTTGTTTGCCTTTCATATTAGAGGAAATTCTTGCCACACCTCAAACCAAAATTAAGGAGCAAAGAAAGAAGCTAGCCACATAAATCTGACCAAGAGCACAAACATCTTAATTAGAATCCACAAAATTTTGTATAATGAAAAGAACTACAAAATTTTAATTCAACCCAAGTGTTTTCCAAGCAGATTGTATTTGCTTAAATTGCTACAGTAATTCACAGGACAGCCCTGTCTGGACTCAGAGTTACTGTGGATTTTTAAAGAAACTCCGTTAGAGAATTTAGGCATTTCTGATTCAGTTAAAGGATTTGCCAATTCATCAATCCCTGAAACTAAAGCAATTTTAACAGGTATGATAATAAAATAACTTTCAACTCTTAAAGAATGTATTCCTATTGTTATAAAAGTATATTGTATTTGTCTAATAGTAAAATAGACTGCAGCTATCATAAAAGCACAATCTGGGGAAGCAAAATCTGGTAAAAAAGTTACATTAAATTTTTGATTAGGCAAAATGTTGAGGTAAAAGGATCAGTAAGATGAGTTTAAATTTCTCATGTAAAGTTCTTCAACAAACAACATTTGTTTTGATTTTTTAAAATTAATTCTGGTCAAAGAGGAAGATTCTTGGGTTAAAGGAATCAACTTCTCTTTAGTTTCTTGGGTCTGGCTTTCTGTTCTTAATTTTAAATGACAAAAAAACCTGCTAATGCATTTGAGACATAAATCCAAGTAGTGATGTTGAGTACAGTTGTAGAGAAGGTGTGCATTTGTTCAAAATTTCTCTACTGGGCAAATACTGATCTAGAATGTTTTTGTTTTCATTGTATCATTCTCAAAGAAAATATATGAACATTTTATCCTATTATTAATAGATACTTTTAAGTTAATTAAGATTTAAGTTTATTGTGGCTAAAATAACAAATAGCAAAGATTTTATAGAATTAAAATTAAAGTTGTCTTAGACAAAAACACATATATAAATAATTTTTATTTACTGGTTTGTATGGCATATCAAACAACTACATCTTTAAAATAGTAAAATGCTATGCTGCTTTTATCTTTAAGTTTCCAGAACTAAGTAAATTATACTTCAATTTTATTCATTTAAATTAGGGTCTACACTGGTTAAAAAACAGTAGTGCTTTTCTTCAAATTATGATAAAGACACTCTTATTGTCTTGTATAGAAAATTCATATTAATGGATAATTTCTTAAAATTTACATTGGTGCTCTGCTTTAAATTTCTTTCTTCACCTGCCATTTTTCTAATAGACAATGTAATATAAGTGAGAAATATCCCATATTGTTATAGAGAAATAAATACGAAAGATAATAGCCAAGTTCTCTGTTTTTCATCTAAAGAAACTACCATGGTGAAATGCCTCAAGAAATCAACGTTAACAAAGAGAAGCAATATTAACAAGATATAGTCTTAATAAAATATATTAAGTAGATCATTTCACAGATCTTTGACTACTAAGAGCCAGAGCAGTGCACTTAGGCTCTGCTAAAAATTAGAGATTGGGAAATGAGACGATTGACAGTGAGTTACTGTGATGGTCTTTGAGTTATTATATAGGGAATAAGGCATAAATTGTAGGATATGGAGACAAAAGTAACAAAATATACTTAGCAAATGTCTAAGAAGAGACTCTCTGGGTAAGATGAAGTAAAATCACTCTTGGGGAAAAGTATCACAGGAGACAAAAGGAAGACTAGTAAATGACAGTATTTCAGATTAAAAGTTGCTATACAGGGAAAGCCTTCTGAAGTGTTTACAAAGAGCAGGAAATAACATGAAGATTCTTTTTATCTTCAGAAGCCATTGTTTGTTGTGGGATTTTGTTCCTAAACCAACCGCCATGAAGTATCTGATCAGAGTATTATCAGGATAACCTTTTCTTCCAATTTCTCACAACACCGAGCAACAGATTCTAATTCTAAAATGCTGCTAAATACTAATTCTAAAAGGCTGTTAGTTGATGACTGCTAATGGTCATCAGGATAAAACTGAGATGGACTGGATGCTTCATGAGCAAGTGTGAGAGAACTTAAGAGCCTTTTATGGCCTGGTTTGGTGCTATAGGCCAGCTCTGCCTCTTGGCTGTGGATCAGTGTCTATCCCTGGTATACAATCTGTCTTCATGTGCCTATAGCACAAAGAGAGATGCTCTCTCAGCCTGGACTCTTAGGGGGAGTGCCTTGACCCTACCAAGAGTAAAATGATAGACTCTAGACATCCCCTATGTGGAAGGATTTGGCAATAGGGTGGGAGGGAGGGTGGAAGGGGAGTGCGGGAGGAGGGGAGGGAGAGGGAACTGGGATTGACATGTAAAACAAGCTATTTAAAATTAAAATAAAAAAAAATAATGTAAATCATCAAAAAAAAAAAAAAAAAGACCTCCCTGAGGGCCTGGGCCCTCCCTGGAATGAAATGACAGATTTTAGAGATCCCCCATGGAGGGCCTTACCCTCCCTGGGGAATGGAGTGGGGATGTGGGGGGGAGCTGGTGGGAGGGAAGTGGGCATGGAGGGGAGAGAGAGGGAATTGGAACTGACATGGGAAGCAAGCTTGTTTCTAATTTAAATATATAATAAAAGTGTTAAAAAGAAAAAAAAAAAAAAGGCCTCCCTGTTTCTCCCAGGAGGGTCAAGACCTGATCCTGCAGCACTAATTATGCCCATTTTGTTATGGTTAATTTTGTAGTGTTGGTCTCCTCTTCTAAACTATTTGTTCTCTTAGAGGGGTTTATATCTTCATTCTCTCTTTATTTTTGTGTTCCCTAACAAGCACATTGTTTCATAGCTAGAAATAACTTTTTAAAAAATGTAACCCTGAGGTGTAGGCAATCTAGGGGGCTTTGGGTAGTAGATCAGTATATATCCCTGGCAAACAAACGGACTTTGGGCACCCATCCCACAATGAGGGAAGCTCTCTCAATGTGGACACAAGGGAGAGGGCCTAGGCCCCCCCCCCCAGGAACGAATGACAGACTCTAGAGATCCAGCATGGAGGGCCTTACCCTCCCTGGGGAACAGAGTGTGGATTGGGTGGGTGGCTGGGGGAGCAGATGGGGGAGAGCAGGCGAGGAGGGGAGGGAGAGGGAGCTGGGACTGACATGTGAAGCAAGATTGTTTCTAATTTAAATATATAAGAAGAAAACAAGGTCATTATCCAAAAAGAATGATGGGAAATGATGTTTTACAGCCTTAAGAAGAGAAACAAAACAAAAAACCCAGTAGTCTTGGCAAGAAGGAATGGTGGTGGACTAAGGAAATGCAGCCATGCCATACTTGAGGTTGTAGCCAAGAACTAAGAATGAGCCCAGTCAGCCTGGTTTGTTTATCCTTCTTCATATTCAGCTATGTGAGTCAGAATGAGAGGAGGGAGGAAATTGCCATTTACCAGGGACTGTGCAAAGGAGTTATGAGAACAATGAACTATAGCATCCCAGTAGAGGGACCTTAGACTATAAGGAAGCAAGGTGGAGGCAGTAAAATTCAGTACCATCAACATACATTAGACTCCTCTGAAACCCAGGAATTATTTATAGTTGAAGGTACTTCTTGAAGATATGGTCAGAATATAGGATGTTCAAAATTCAGACTATGACCACTGGTATTTTGGAAGTCTCAGGACATGAGTTCACAGGAAGAACTGAGACAAATCAAGGGAGAAAAAGGAGCAAATGGAGCTCTGTCAGAAAAATGATTAACATAACTATTTTCTCAGTAATACTAATATTGAAAAACAGGAGGTATCATTCTAGAGGAATAAATGTAAATGATTTCATAGAAACACAGTGATGTTATGGCATTTATTCACTCATTCATTTATAAAATCCCTTTTGAGAAAGGTGGAGAAAAAAGGTCTCAGGGGAAAAAGGATACATTTTTTTCTTTAACATTTTTCCTAAATAATGCTCATTTCAACTGGACAGCAGTTTTCAATTTGCCAAGAACTTTTACATGACTCAGGAGATTGAGGCAGTAAAGACTATTTGAATTGTAGGAGTTGGAGACCATCCCAGTGAGACTCTGTCTCAAAACAATAAAGTTAGAGTTTATCTTCTAGGTAACATAAGCAGCAAGACTAAGACAAGACGCAAGATAAGCAGGAAAGACATGGGGCTGAGGAGATAGCCCTGTCAGCAAAATCCTTACGTACATTGCAAGCAGGAAGATCCGAGCTCTGAATTGGTTCCATAGAACCCATGTTAAAAACAAACAAAACCAAGTGTGGTGACCACACTTGTACTCCTAACATTTGGAAAGCAGAGATGGGAAGTCCCTGTCACTCACTGGCCAGCCAAACAGCCTACATAGTAAAAGACTCTTATCTTAAAAAATTAAAAGGTAGATACCAGATGAATGGCACCTGATGTTGTCTTCTTGGTTTTACATGCACGCACGCACGCGCACGCGCGCACACACACACACACACACACACACACACACACGAAGCCATGTATAATTTAACTACAATTACAAATTTCACTTTATTCTTTTTGAGGAGGTGTCTTACTGTATTATTAGATTGGTCTCCAACTCAAATGATCTGCCCACTGAGCAGGAGGAATTATAGGCATGTGCACATAACCAGCAATTACAATTTTTATTTTATTAATAAAGCAAGAGGCAGAATTGTTAAATGACAGAAATGAAATTCAAGTTTTCAGACTCTTTGTTTAGAAAATACTCCTTTCTTCTTCACGTTTCATCAGAAATAACTGTTCCTTATCTGGGAAGTCATCCCCTTACAATCCAACTCAATATAACATCTAAAATGCTCTATAGTGTCATTTTAATAGCTGTACATCTAGATCTTAACTCAAAAACACTACTCAAAGCCAGATATGGTAATGCTCCTTGTAGTCTCAGGACCTGGGAAGGAGAGACAAGAGAATCATGAGTTTAAGGCCAGCCTCACTTAAATAGCAAACGAGGCCAACCTGGGTTCTATAAGACACTGTCTCAGGAAGGAGGAAGGAAGGAAGGGAAGGAGAGAGGAAGAGGGGAGGAGGGACAAAGGGAAGGAAGAAGGGAGACAGAGGGAGACAAGGAAAAAAAAAAGGGAGAGAGGACGGGGAGAGGGAGAGAGGGGAATACTTAGTGAAAAAATAGGAGTCAGGAAAAACATGAAAATATTTAATTTAATGGAAATTGAAACTTTCTAAGTAAGTTACCACATAAAAAAGAATGTTCTTTTAAAGGACAAGGAAAAGATTTCAGTAACAGGAGTAGTAGGGAGCACGATTTTGGTTTAATAAAAATTGTTAACAGATCAACTTCTTTAACTGTTCAAAGAGGTAGCAACCATCACTAATAGAACACTGGGTAAGAATGTGCAGCATTTACAGTGATAGGAATACTAGGGTGTGGTTGGGTAACGTCACAGTTATTACAAATCTACAGTCTAGAAAACAAGACAACTGAGAGTATCTTACAAGATACTGACTGCAATCTCAACATACAATCTCAACACTTGGGAGGCAGAGGCAGAAGGATTGCCTGTAATTCAAGGCCGGTTTAGTTTTCATAGGAAATTCTTGCCAGTAAGGGCTACAAAAGGAATCCTGTCTATAAAAACAAAAGTAAACAAATAAAACATAGTGACTAATTAGTAAAAAGTCCAGAGCAGCACATTTTTGACTACTGTTCAATGCAACATGTGATTCTAAAATTTACTTCAGAGGTATTTAAACATTAAATTTTAATTTGAGCTTTGCTCATACATCCTGAATATTCTGTTATATATATGCACCAGTATAGCAAACCTTATATGTGTCAATTTATATGAGAATTATTCTAAGTATTAATCACTTTTCTCTTTGCAATAGGACAAAAAAAAACCATGAGCTTTTTAAGTACAACATACATCCTTTTCTTCTGTTTTGGAGTTAGAGTATATTGCCAATACGAAGCTTACCAATGGGATGAAGAGTATGACCAAGAGCCAAATGAAGATTATGAGCCAGAATTCCAATTTCATCAAAATATTGAATATGGAGTGTCCTTTTATCAGAATGTGTTAGGCTGTGCTAAGGAATGCTTCTGTCCAACTAACTTTCCAACATCAATGTATTGTGACAATCGTAAACTCAAGACTATCCCAAATATTCCAATGCATATTCAGCAACTCTACCTTCAGTTCAATGATATTGAGGCTGTGACTGAAAAGTCATTCATCAATGCAACTCGTCTAAAAGAAATAAACCTCAGCCATAACAAAATTAAATCTCAAAAGATTGAATATGGTGTCTTTGCTAAACTTTCAAATCTACAGCAACTTCATCTGGAGCACAACAACTTAGAAGAATTTCCATTTCCTCTTCCTAAATCTCTGGAAAGACTCCTTCTTGGTTATAATGAAATTTCCACACTCCAAACAAATGCCATGGACGGACTGGTAAACTTGACTATGCTTGATCTTTGCTATAATCATCTTTCTGATTCAATGTTAAATGAAAAGAGCCTTTCCAAAATGGAAAAGTTAATGCAGCTCAATCTATGTAATAATCAATTAGAATCAATGCCCCCTGGATTGCCTTCTTCACTTATGTATCTATCTTTAGAAAATAATTCAATTTCATCTATACCAGACAATTATTTTGACAAACTTCCAAAACTTCATGCTCTAAGAATGTCACACAACAAACTGAAAAACATTCCATATGGTATATTTAATCTTTCCAACCTTATAGAACTCAACGTTGGACACAATAAATTGAAGCAAGCATTCTACATTCCAAGGAATTTGGAACATCTATACCTACAAAATAATGAAATAGAAAGTATGCAAAATTTTGCACTTTTTAAAGAACAAAAGATTCTTTTTTGACTTGTTTTATTTGGGGGGGGGCTTGTAATGTTGAGGCAGGGTTTCTCTATGTAGCTCTGGATGCCCTGGAACTTCCTATATAGAGTAGGCTTGTCCACAAACTCGGATATATTCACCTGCCTCTGCCTCCTGAGTGCTGAGATTAAAGGTACATGCACCAACATTCCTGATCAATTATATTTTGATTCTATTCATAAAGAATGAGTTATTAGCCAGACAGTGGTGGTGCACACCTTTAATCCCAGCACTAGGGAGGCAGAGGCAGGTGGATCACTGTAAGTTCAAGGCCAGCCTAGTATACAAGGAGATTTCCAGGATAGCCAGAGCTACACAGTGAAACCCTGTCTTGAAAATACAAAATAAAACAAAACAAAGAGATATTAATCATCTATGGTTTACATAGTGCTGAAAGGGTTGCTTTGAAGTCAGCTAAGCTGATGACAGAGAGTGGCCTGGGGAAAGAGTGTGTCACTAATCTTATAGTTTTTTTTTCTACTCAACTTTACTACCTTGAATATTAGCAAGTAGTATTAGTGCACATCTGAAGAATATGGCCCTGGGTAGTAGGGCTATGTTTTTTTGTTTGTTTTTGCCTTTGCTTCTACTAAGAAGCAACTATATATTGCTTATATAATAAAACCAATTAATTCATATTTATTTTAGTGATAAGAAACTTGAGTTTCACTTCATTTTAATTAATATAAAATAATTAAACCCAACTCCACTTGTAAGTATTACGATAAAATCATATCACATAAAACAAAAACCAACATGGAATTATGACTATCATATGCATGATGAATTTTTAATTTGTGTTTTTCAGACATCAATGTGACAATGATGTGTCCCTCTACTGACCTACTACACCATCGCCATTTAACATACCTTCGAGTGGACCAAAATAAGCTGAAAGAACCCATAAGTTCATACATCTTCTTCTGCTTCCCTCATATACACAGTATTTATTATGGTGAACAAAGGAGCACTAATGGGGAAACAATACAACTGAAGACCCAAGTTTTCAGGAGATACCAAGATGACGAGGAGGAAGAAGAGGGGGAGGAAAACCATGATGGTCAGGACAACATTCTTGAGGGTCAAGAAGTAACAGAAGAGTACTTTAATTCTCATTATTATTAAGTGCAAGAATGGCAAGAAACTATATACGTATATATCTATGACTTCATATAGCCATGCTAATTACAAATCTAAACATATACTGCTCAAAATAATGTATCTAGAAATAAGTATGAGTATTAGATCAGAATTGTACTTAAGGTGTTAGTGACAATGGCTTCATCTCATAGGCTTAGAGCTTACTTAAAAATGATGCAAATCTTACAAAATATTAAAATGGCAAGTGGGAATAAAAAGCTTAAATGGGTTTGTTCTTTAAACTTAGAAATAATATCATGCAAAAAAACAAGTAAGGACCAGCAAAATGGCTCAGCAGATAAAGCATTTGCTGCCAAGACCCAACTCCTTCAAGTTGCCAAAATTTCCTCTTGCCACATGTGTGCATGCCAATAATAATAATAATAATAATAATAATAATAATAATAATAATAATAATACCTCTATGTATGCCACTTTCAATGATAGGATATTTTCCTAGGAATGATGAAATAAGTGACATTAACAGTGAAGACAGAAGCTGCCTCTGCCTCCCTGAATGCTAGGATTAAAGGGGTTCATCACCTCTGCCTTATTTACTCTTTCCTTCCTTTTTGAGGGAGGCACACTTATATATATTTCTAATCCCACTAAGGTATGAGTACCAAGTTCAGTGCTCAAAATGATATTTTTTTTTTTTGGTTTTTCGAGACAGGGTTTCTCTGTGGCTTTGGAGGCTGTCCTGGAACTAGCTCTTGTAGACCAGGCTGGCCTCAAACTCACAGAGATCTGCCTGCCTCTGCCTCCCGAGTGCTGGGATTAAAGGCGTGCGCCACTAACGCCCGGCCCAAAATGATATTTTTGATTTTCAAAGTTACCATCCTAAGATCTAAGGCATACAATTCAGGAAATTAAGTGTTCTTTTCTCAGATCACAAGAGCAAATGAATTATCAATTCTGTATCTGCTGTATGTGGATAATTAAAAATTAAATTACCTCAGTACAATCTATATTTTAGGAAATTTCAGCAACTATTCAAAATACTCTATCGTGTTCCATTTCCAACTGGATTAATATTTTAAAGTAAGCTGGAGAAAGGCCTTAGGTAGTTACATAAAGACTTGCTAAAATTGTTTTATTCACAGGTCATATTAAAACTGATAAAATAGAATTTTTACACATTGTTAAACTTTTCTGATGGCATCATACACTATAAGCATATATCTATACTAGCCAGTATTTATTTACATGCTGATAAAGTTGACTATAGTTCCTTTGAAATTTGATAGACACACAGGCTCCGATATCACCTCTAATACCTTAAAAGTCACTTGTATTCTCTAGTCCATTTTTAAGTATTTTAAGTACGTTTTATGATGTATTGTGATGAGCTCTCTTATATACCATACATTAATGATTCACAGAACTCCTGATAAAAAGTAACAAATGCATGCCAACACTAAGAATCCAAAAGCACATGATTAAAATTCAGACAATGGGCAATTAACAGATGGGTACACTATAATTTGGAAGTATTCAAGCTTCTGAGTGCTGAGAAGCCTCTACTGTTTTTTCTATCTTTGAGTAGGTTGTTAGCATTAACAGAAGAGAACACTCACCTGTACACAGGTGCAAAGTTGACAATGCATAATGAACACAAACAAATCTCCAACCATTCATTTAACCATCCACGTCAAGGTATTTAGTGAAGAAGGTACAACAGTGAGAGATCGGGGAAAAGAGTACAAAAAGCAACTGTGACACAAAAACAAGGAAGCCCAAGAGTCAAATACTAGTGGTATTAGCTAGGCATCCCTGTGACACAGGCCTAAAGTCCAGTTAGTTCTCCTGAAATGTTTCAAAATGGGAGTATAAATGCAATTACGTATTATGAATGAAAATATGCTGTGTTGAGAGATAAGCAAGATCAGACACTTTTTCTAGCTTCCATGTTAAAATTTAAAAAGAGCCACGAAGGAAATGCAAATCAAAACCACACTTAAAACATTTACCTTTTTCTCATTACAGTGGCAGCAATCAAAAGACAGGAAAATAACAAATATTGATGAGGAGACAGAAAGATTGGTATCCTCACATACAGCTGATAGACAACAATGCAGCTATTTGGAAAGCTCCAGTTAGGTTTAATCAACATTTCTACTTCTAGGCATCTGCCCAAGAGAACTGAACACAGGTTCACAATGCTCAAGACCGTCCATAGCAGCATCATTCATGAGTCCAAAAGAGGAAACCAATAGCTGGGTATGGTGGTGCAAAGCTATGCAATCCCAGCACTTGGTGTGGAGGGTGGACGCAGGAAGTTAAGGAGTTCAAAGAGATTCTCCCATATACAGCAAGTTTGAGACTTGCATGGGCTAGACCCTGTCTCAAAAAAGAACTGATGACAGACAGGGTTTCCTTTTTTTTTTAAATTTAGTTTATTATGTATAGAGTGTTCTGGCAGTAGCCACCATGTGAGCACTGGGGACTTGAACTCAGGACCTCTGGAAGAGCAACCAGCGCTCTTAACCTCTGAGCCATTTCTCCAGCCCGACAGGGTTTCCTTTATAAGTAATGAAATTTTCTAAAATTATTATGATGATGATTACATAGAACCTGAAAATACTAAAATGGTTGAATTTGTACACTTACAGAAGGGGGAATTTCATTGAATGGGAATTAGCACAACAAAGAAGGCATTTAAAAAAAATCCCATAACTTACTCTAACACAAGGTATAAACAAACAAAATGGTGACAAGGCAGAAATGATAACCCAGGTGACCATGGACATCATAACTAATTTCAGCCTGGACCAGCTGAAACTTCAGGAAGAAGTGATACTGTGTGGGGAGTACTAGCAGAAGTAGAAACTATCATAGATTAATGTAAAGAAGTAGTAATTATTTGAACTCTTGTACGGTTAAAAAGTAAAAATTCTCAATTTTTGTTACATCGAGAGATTGTTTCTTCATTTTCTTTTTAAGTTAACAAATTACACTTAATTTAAAAAAATCCCTCCAAAGACACATAAGTAAATTACCACAAAATCCCTCCTGCTCAAAACCCAGAGGATGTAGGTCTACAATCTTTTTATTATTATTATTTAGAAATGCCACAGTGAACTCGAACCAAAGCAAGGATTTCTCAGTAAACATAAAGCAAATAAAAACCCTAATGCTTTTCCTCAAAGAAGCGGAAGAACGAAGTATTTTCTTTACCTCCTACAGCACAACAGTTACCATGTCAGACACAGAGAATCAACTGACTCGGTAATTACAACAGGAAAGAAAATAATGAGCCTCTACTTGTCTATTAGGAAAAGGGCTAAACTGCTTGTAAGAACTAACAAAACATGCAATTAATACCAAAAATCCCAGATTAGTTAACAAAAATAAATACAGTTCATTTTAGAAAGGAAGTAAAAATAAAGGATCCTTCAGAAAAAATAATAGCTAACAGAACTGTTTGAAAACATCTAGCCTGTGTCTAAGAATCAATTGAAATACAGATTTTTAAACTTATTTCTCAACTTAGGGACTACTAAGTTAAAATACAGATGCATGCATATTACATAACACATTCAACCAGCTCTAAGAGGGAAGAAAGCAAAAAAAAAAAAAAAAAAAAAAACTAAACATAACCCCCCCCCAAATTCTAGTCTCTTCTATAGACTTTTTGTGTTATAAAGAATTCTTCTGTCCCCAAGGATGATGGTTGGAACAAAAATCCTGGTTTCCTGATTCAAAACACATTTTCCCCTCTAAGTCTTGGAACTAAAGTGAAAGAGCAGCTGGAAACAAAATTAGATCATAACATCTAAAATCCCAAGTTTCTTATATGTTCCAATTTCCTGTACAGAACCCCATGCCCAGTTTAAGTAACTGTATTTAGTACAGTAGGCACTGGTATAAGTAGCAGCATGTCATACACACATCTTCATCACTGTAAGTGTTCCGGCTGTGAATACATTATACAGACATTTAGACACTAAAAGAAAAAAATTAAATTCAAAGATAAAATACCTTTTTTAAAAAGGCATAAATTTGTCCTCACACTGCATCATAACCTCCTTCCGCTTTGGTCTGTAAGGTGCTTCCACTCTCATCTCTCTCATGTGAACAAAAGATCTATGTTCATGTAAATACACAAGATTTAAGACAACATGCTTGCTATAAGGTCTCAGAATGTTGAATTTTAATTAATTATCTAGTAACTCAGTAGTTCTCATAGGCATGGCTTTTAAAAAGAATTGCTCTTGTTTATATTTATGCAAAAACATCCAAGTGTCTGCCAGATAAGTGTGCATGCCCTAGGTAGTCAGAAGAGGGAATTGGAACCCTGTGAGCTGGAGTTACAAGTGACTGTGACGTGTCTAAGTTGGGCATTAGGATCCCAATTTAGGTCCTCTGGAAGAGCAGCAAGTGCTCTTAACTGCTAAGCCATCGCTCCAGTAGCCAAAAGTTTGCTCACCCATCTAACAGTCATAGTGCATAACTAGGTGATGGTTAGCCTTTAGTTTTCTTAAGGCTTTTATTTGTGTTTGTTTTTTATTCTAGAAACAAGCTCTTATTGTGTAGTACTGGGTAGCCTAGAATTAAACAAACAAACAACATGTCTGGTTTTGCCTTCTAAGTGCTCGGATTAAAGACGGGCTCTGGCCAAGGAACTGAACCTCCTTGGGGTTGGAAAGGTGGGTTGGTGGTTAAAAGCACTTGCTACTTTTCCAGATGATCCATGTTCAATTCCAAGTACCCACATGGAGATGCATGACCTTAACGCCAGTACCAGGGAATCTGACCCTCTCTTCTGGCCTACTTAGTTATCAAGCATGCAGGTAGCACACAGATAAACATGCAGTTAAAATATCCATTACAAGAAGGAAGGAAGGAAGGAAGGAAGGAAGGAAGGAAGGAAGGAAGGAAGGAAGGAAGGAAGGAAGGAAGGAAGACTGAGCACCAAAGAAACTAGAGAACTTCCCCAAGATCAAGAGAATCAAAGCTTAGAACTCAGACAAGTATTCTGACTGTTTTCCTATGATGTTGAAGACGGAAAATATATCAACCTACTGGATAGTTTATAGTTTGTTAGGGCTCTCTCTCTCTCTCTCTCTCTCTCTCTCTCTCTCTCTCTCTCTCTCTCTCTCTCTCTCTCTCTCTCTCTCTCTCTCTCTCCCTCCCTCTCTCCCCAGAAAACCCTTGTTTCTTAGGTTTTTGTTTGTTTTTTGAGATAAGTTCTCACTATGTTGTCCTAGTTGGCTACACACACACACACACACACACACACACACACACACACACACACACACACACACACAGTATACTGGCATCTGTTTTTTAAAAAACTATTTTAAAACTATTTTAAAAATAGTTCAGCTTGCTTAGAATTCACCATTTAGCTGTGAATGACCTTGAACTCCTGATCCCTTTGTGTCTATCTCACAACTGCTGGGGTTACAGATCGGTGCCACTACACCTGTCTTATGCATGGCTGGCAATGGAACTCAGGGCTTCTTGAATATTATTAGGTAAGAACTCTACGAACTGAGCTACATGATAACCTGAAAATTCAGCTCCACACAACACATTTTTAACTGCTTACTGCTGTGAAACAATTAGGAGGCCAAAACACAGGCTAATGAAGCACCTTGAAGAAATAGAACCCCTATAAGGTACCAAGGGTAATACAGAAGTTACCTAAAGGAATGTTCTAGAGTAGTAAATTCTCAGTGAACAGAATGTGTAATCTAAAGCATCTGACAGCTTTCATGTTTAATAGTGAGAGCGAAGGAATTTTCTACCAGAATGTAAGATTTCTTTCTGAAATGGAAAACAACCTCAGTTTTAAGCAGTTCTTTAGGGAACTGTATAGAAGGATTTGGTTTTCCCTAAAGAGAGACTGAACTTGGCTTTACCTCCCTAGAAGCAATTATGTCATTCTTGAAAGTTCTGTGTGTGTTTTGGATGGCACTGACCACATACAATAGTTTTAGGAGTAGGTTAATCTGGCCAGAAAGATCATTCACATGACTTAGGGTAGGGGGTTAGGGTTATGCAGAACTGAGGAATAACTTCAACCACGGGTATACTCTAGACTCTGTTCCAGCATCTCCATGCCTGATTTTCATGTGAAGCTCTGTCCTGAGTAAGACACAACCATTGGTTGGGCTTTTTTCAGTGAGTTATTCCTTTTAGAGAATTTAGCCAAATTTCTGCAAGAACAGTAAGTGCTCTAAACTACCGAGCCATCTCTCCAGCCCTCATACTCTATTTTAAGTATTTATCCACATTTTCCTTTAGGAAAAAAGAATAGTGGCTTTGACAACTAAAAGCACCAAAAATAATAAAAAATAAAAGTAATGTTTTTAGACAAGGGCTTGCTATGCAATCCAGGCTAACCCTGAACTCCCCCCTTCCTTGTGTCTCTGATTCTCAAGTGTTGAGATTACAGGTATGTGCCCAGCAAAAGTTTTAAAGGTGAGTCTTTAAAGAACGTGTACATGGTTTCTATCTACACTACTGCTTTATAGTTTTATATTTTTAAGACAGTCTCACTATGTAGCTCTGGCTGGCCTGGAACTTGCAGTGTAGAACAGACTAACAAAGATCCTCCTGCCTCTGCCTTCTAAGCGCTGGGATTAAAGGGGTGCACCACTACACTCTCTGGTGATATGTTATTTATGATTTATTAAAGCTTGTCTGAGGGTACAGACAGCAAAGCTAGCCACAAGCCATAGAGCCAGGCAATAGTGATACACACCTTTAATGCCAGCAGCCATTTTAGTTAGCCAAAGAGCCAGGCGGTGGTAGCACACACCTTTAATCTCAGGACTCAAGAGACAAGCCAACGGATCTCTGTTAATTTAAGGCCACACTGAACTACATGAAATATCCAGTCCCAAAGAGAAACAGCTCACGCAAAGGTGATCTCAGCACTTGGGATCACACGCCTTTAATCCCAGCACTTTAGAGGTATAAAAGGAGAATTAGTCTCTAGTCACGTTGAGGAGAGGCAGCAGTCTAAGACTGCAGTCTGAGGAGAGCAGAGCAGTTTGGAGATGCAGAGGACATGTCGCCCGCTCAGTCTGAGCATTGGTAGAGGTGAGAAATCTAGGGCTTGGCTGCTTTGCTTTTTGATCTTCAACTTAAAGCTTGGACCCCAATATCTGTCCCTGGGATTTCATTAATTGTGTTACAGCACTGAGACCCTGGTTTAGTTTTTCAAAATCAAACTTAATATAAAGTTTCATTAGTAAATATTTTTGCTATTACAAAATTATAAAATCAAACTTCTTTTTAAAAACTGTTTTCACGGGCCGGGCTGTGGTGGTGCATGCCTTTAATCCCAGCACTTGGGAGGCAGAGGCAGGGGGATCTCTGAGTTTGAGACCAGCCTGGTCTACAAGAGCTAGTTCCAGGACAGCCTCCAAAAGCCACAGAGAAACCCTGTATCGAAAAACCAAAACAAACAAACAAAAACCAAACTGTTTCACACTCTTTTTTGTTTGTTTTCAAGAAGGGTCTTACTATGTAACTCTGACTGTCCTGGAATGTGCACCTCGGTACAGAACACAGGGTACTTACTACTCACTGTGTAGACTCTACTAGCCTCAAACTCACAGATATCCAACCTGCCTCTGCCTCACAAATACTGGTATTAAAGGTGTACAACACTATGTCTGGCTATTTACCCACTCTTATGAACTAAAATAAAAGAATTAAAAACTTGAGCCAGGCGGTGGTGGCGCACGCCTTTAATCCCAGCACTTGGGAGGCAGAGGCAGGCGGATCTCTGTGAGTTCGCCGGGCTGGACTGACAGCCTCCAAAACAATACAGAGTAACCCTGTCTCACTAAAGGACAAAACTTTCAAACTATTGGGTTAAAACAAACTTTACATTAAATTTCTAATGTATTAGTTATAGTGTGGGAACAAAATTCTAAATTCTCATTAAATTAACGATGAAGACTATGTTTGATTTGTTTCCATTTCATTTTTAAAAAGTATTTTATACACCAGAAAAGTACAAAAATAAAAAGCATGATTTTAAAAATATGTCGTTTTTATACACTAATATTCACTAAAAGATTAGTGTTTCACATACAAAGTAAAAGAGATCCAGACTCCAGTGTTCTGCAGCAGCTCTGGTGCCGCAGTTCCAAACATCTTCAGCACACTGTCCCATGCAACACCCTGCATTTCACCCCGAGAAGGAATGCTGGCAAAGATATCCACCACATGGAAGTTAAGCTGTTGGGCCCTGAAACTTCATTGAGCAGTTTGAAACCATTCCACAGCTTTGCTCCTTCACCCTCCCACTTGGGACTAATGCACAAACATGAACACCTATTGAGGAAAGCCACACAGGACTTCAAACAGCGACTACGGTAGGCTTGTTTTTCAAACATTAGTTTAATTACTGTGTGCTAAAGAGTGATTCTGAATGTCTTAATAAATGTAAAGTCATCTGTAGTGTAAGTTTCATTTTCTCTGAACAATTAATTTTCAACAATACTTTCGTGTATCGTTTTATAACTTTAATATGGATAGGTAAGAACTAGAAGCAGTAAAAGTTACAAACCCATTTTATTTTGAAATTTAACCACTGGATATTTGACAAGCTGGCACCTATATTGCAGCATCAGCATCTCTAAGTGATTTTGACTGCAGTTTTAAAATTGTCTGAAATGTGTACTCAGCAGTTAAAATTCACTGGTGAGCCTCAAAAAATCTTTCCAGTACATTCTTCAAAGTTCCTCCCTTAAAGTTTTAAATTACCCTAGTCTGCAGTGGTAGTATTGTACTTTTCATAGTTAAAGCTTAAAAAGGCAAGATTATTAACTAAAACTAGTGATAACCTGTTAAATTTATAAAACTAGAGAAATTTAATGTTTTTTCCTATATTATACATCACCTAAAAGTGCCACTGTCTATTTTTATGAAGTTAAACTTAAGGTTTAAGTTTTAATCCTTTTCTAAGAACTGCTTTTTTTAATATCCATATGAATCAAGAGTTCCTTCAACGCTGCAACGTTGAAATATGATATTTTTAAGTCCACATGACACAGGATCATGGATCTTGTGTTAACCATTTATACTACAGGTAACCCAAGAATACTTTGATTGCATACATGTACCCCTATTCAAGGCATCCAACTGTTAGTAAACTTAGCAACAGTTCTTAAATTTTTCATAGGTTAAGAAATAAAACTACTTTCTGATGTTTTCAGAATCTTCACTGGTACATAAAAAACTGCTAGTATCTAATTGAGGACCACTAAGGGTTAAATAGTTGTTCTCTAGCCCTTACTGCATACACCGAGCCAAAATATCCTCCAAGTCTTAAATATTGCTTCGATAGTCTGCATTCTTATTTCCAGGGGGAAAGAGTTTTGTTCCACACTCATCAGGTCACTAGTTTACTGACTTCAGTCACCTTGAGTTTGCTGAAATGAAGACTGTGCATTCTACACTTCTCCTGCTACTGTTCGTGCCTCTGACACAGACAGCACCACAAACTCTGCTGGACTCACACATTACCTATGAGTATGGAACAGACAACTTTGAAGAAACCAAATTTAGCCAGGACTATGAAGATAAATATCTGCATGGGAAAAATATGAAGGTATTTTATTTCTACTTTAAATTTATATTCTGAAATGATACCCATTTAAATGCATGTTTTCCCCTTAATTTCAATGTTTGATAAGGTAAGAAGGGGAAAGGCATTTTAAGATTTTTCAAATATGCATGATTTCTGAATTAATAAATAGTACCAATGGTAAACAAAAAGTACTCAGAGAAATTAAAATTGAAGGCGTTAGACTTTAAGATCTCTGATAGCTGCAATTTATGTTAAGTAATGCTACATAATATCCTATAGTTGCATGTTATATTGCCTCACAGATAAATTAAGAGAAGATAAATTATCAGCTTATGTTTACAGAATTCAGAAAAATACAGTTCAAGGAAAAAAATACAAGAATACTTATTGGTTATGCATGCCAACTGGATAGAGTACCAAGAAATGAAAAACTACTTATTATGGGGATTCATTTTTAATCACATTTAACAGTTTAGATTTTACCAATTTACACCAAAGATCTGTAATGAAATGTTACTGAGTTATGGCTTTTATACCACAATCACTCACATCAAACCTTCAGAGCAAAGCTATTACTTGTGTTTTTTTTGGGGGGGGCATACAGAAGTACTGGGGGAAGGAGAAAATTAATATAGCATAAAACTATATGCTGCCCACTATGTGATGCACACACACACTGGAAAATTAGAGTCAGATACATAATAATATTCATTACTTTAAAAATTCTTTTTACTACAAATCAGATAGTGAAGATGTTAAGACTAATCAGTCCAAACGCTTTTTCCCCTCTTAATTCATAATGAGCAAATGCTAGCCACAGTTTCTTTTTTCTAAAGGAATGAGTTAAAATGCTCGTATTTTTTCTACCTATAGTTAAGACAAAATCGACATGTATCTCTAACAACAGCTTCAAATTCAAAAAAACAAATAAACAAAACAAAAAGTTTATAATCTATTGTCTTACTGGAATGACCTGAGTCTATCAACCAACTGCAGGATACTTTCAAAATTCCTTGAACCTTAATGCTTTCTGCTTAACTACACGGAGCTTTAAGCAGTTTTCCACCAATATAAATGTGTGGCCCAACATTTGTGTGAAATGGAGATCTCAGTGTGGGAGAGTGATATTCAGGCAGCACACAGATGGGAACATGATGAGGGCTAAGGGCAAGGTCAGAAGTCCACTCAGATAGCATGGAGCAGGGGTGGGGGAGGTAGAGTAAACAGTACCCCATATAATAAATTATAGTCTACTAGCAGAAAACACATTCTCTGAAAAGAGGACAGAGGTAAAATGACAATCTGCAGTTATATAGTGTTAACAAGCCTACACCAATGATCAGGTGAAGAGGCTAGAATAAAGGGACCCATCCCAAGGCCAAGGCAGGAAGGCATCCAGGTCATGAAAGAATGTACTTAGTACTTTACATTCCATAGCTGTACTGTTGTGTTCAGAGGATAGACATTGATAAAAGGAAATATAAAGAACAATAAGGAATAGATGCACATTAGAAAAACTTTCATTCCCAGTCAGGGAATTATTTCCTAAGCTAACATTTAGAAATTCAATATATTAAATATTTATCAAATACTGAGTTCAGCCAGTGAAAAGAAAAAAAATTAAGCTGATTCTTTTACTCAGGAATGCATATCCTACCTCAAATATTTACAGCATGATTTAATGAATAATGAAATGGAATCATGTATAAAATCTTAACATAGTGCTGAGATAGTTTGGAACTTTAGTAAACTCTTGCAGCCATAGAACCCCTGGGCTCACATGGTGGAGAGAACTGACTTGCACAAGTTGTCCTTGTCTAATCTCTCTCTCTCTCTCTCTCTCTCTCTCTCTCTCTCTCTCTCTCTCTCTCTCTCTCTCTCTCTCTCTCTCTCTCTCTCACACACACACACACACGACCGAAATACATATATACACATACTTATATATACACAATGCACACATAAAAGAAAATCTTGATGAAATACCTCTAACTGTGACTATGAAAAAATGTTTGTGATCCTTCCAGTTTACAATCAGACTCTTGTCTTATTACACCTGATAACAAACTTCTAACTTTGTAAAATAGGAAAAGGAGACTATGGTAATTCCTGATGAGAAAAGTCTTCAGTTACAAAAAGATGAGGTTGTACCATCATTACCCACCAAGAAAGAAAATGATGGTGAGTATGAACAATCATTTAGTATTTTTGAAAAGTTTCTTTTAAAAATACTTACAAAGAAATGTTATTCCTTATAGTAATCAAAAGTTGTCTCAAGATATATAAACTGAAATTCCATCTTCAATGGTAAAGTCATTATAGTTATACAGGAAGTGCTCATCACCTACCATTTTACACTGTCAGTGAAAACTGTGGACTAGAACATTCAAGAACATCCAGTACTTTGTCTAAACCTATCCTTTAGAAAACATGTTTCTGTCCCTATTTAAAAAAATCAATTCAAAAGCCTGGCATGGTGACGTACACCTTTATTAATCCCAGCACCTGGGAGGTAAAGGCAGACAGATCTCAATGAGTTCTAAATCATCCTGATTACACAGCAAGTTTCAGGCTAGCAAAGACTACACATCAGGCTTTGTCTCAAAAACAAATCGATTCACGAAAGAATCAAAGATTAGTTTTCAAATACAACCAAAAGACTTATATCCAATATAATGCAATTAATTATTGTTTTAAAAAAACTCACAGAAGCTGGGGATGGGCTGGTAGGGTGTTTGTATGAGCCCCTAAATTCAAAGAATTGTATTTTAAAAAGCAGCAAGCAAACAAGAAAAACACAACAAAGAAAGAACATGACTCTATGTAACTACAATGTCTGTTTCAATTGAAATAACAGGAAAATTACTGTAAAATAACAAACTACAAGCCATACTTCATAGGTCTTATATTTGATTTATTCTTGTTAAGTAACATAACCTGGTTTCACATGAAACCATGAAAAAAAAACTACCAATGCAATTCCTATATTTGCTACAGTAAAATTAAAATGAACCAGAACAGAAAATACATCCTAAAAATCTGGCAATTATTTTAGTAAAAATAGACTTGAATAATTGGGAAGACATGCTTGTCTTGCCCAGGATGACTCAATATTATGAAGACATCATTAATCTCTAAATTTTTTTTTTTTGGTTTTTTGAGACAGGGTTTCTCTGTATTATTTTGCAGGCTGTCCTGGACATTGCTCTGTAGACCAGGCTGGCCTCGAACTCACAGAGATCTGCCTGCCTCTGCCTCCCGAGTGCTGGGATTAAAAGCGTGCGCCATCACCGCCCAGCGTCATTAATCTCTAAATTCAGAAAATATAGACAATTCCACTAAAATTACCAAATTTAGATAATGCTAGGAAAATGGATTCTAAAATACTTATAGATGTTTTAAGGAAAAATGAAAAATAGCTGTGGAAACACTAAACAGTGTCAGATCGTATCATGTTTAACAAGTTGAGGATACTAGTGCATGAAATTCCTCCTAGTTGTTCTCTGACCTCTGTAAGCATATCATGGCACACGCCCCCCCCAAATAAATAAATGTAACGACAAAATTAAAAGAACATATCTGAGTATAGAACCAGGCCTTTATTATATGGCCAAGTGGTTGCTGACAGTGTGTTAATTTTTCCAAAGGCCATATTGAAAGCACCAACAGAATAAAGAATCTTGCCTATCCCTGATATCATATTTAAAAGTTAACTCAAGGGCCTGGAAAGGCGGCTCAGTGGTTAAGAGTTCAAGTTGCTCTTCCAGAGGACCTAGGTTCAACTGCTAATGCCCACACGGTGGCTTGCAAACATCGGTAATTTCAGCCCAAAGGTCTGAAGTCCTCTTCCAACTTTTTAGACACCAAGCACACATGTGGTACACGTACATGTATACAAGTAAAGCATTCATACACATAAAATAAAATGAATATTTAAAAAGTTAAGTCAGATCAGGCGATGGTGGTGCACACCTTTAATCCCAGCACTCGGGAGGCAGAGGCAGGTGGATCTCTGAGTTTGAGGCCAACCTGGGCTACAGAGTGAGTGCCAGAACAGGCTCCAAAGCAATACAGAGAAACCTTGTCAAAAATTTCAGATTTCTTTTAATAAGTTCTAGAACAAACAAAGGATAACACTGTAATGACTGCTAAGTTTTCAATCTTAAACGTCTTCCTAAAAACTCATGTATTTAAGGTTTGGTCCCAGCTCATTGTTGGGAGCCCTGCCGTCTGGTCTTGGGCCAGCATATAACTACCTGTCCAATGGGTTTCCTTGGGGGTAAGGCACCTAATGGACTCTTACTTGGCAAGGACCAGTAGTCCATGGGACAGCATAGGAATTTGCAAAATTCATGGAGCTTACAGGCTCTTTGGTCTTTCTTCATATTGTTAATTCTTTGGATGGTTTTTAGTTTTACTTTGTCAGTTACACATGCAATAGAAGTAATTTTCCCTGGAAATCATGTTCTGTCTTGAGTATTTACCCCTAATATTCAAAAGGGGATTAATGCTTCTCAAATTTCATATCTAGAAACACTAAATACAACTCTTAATCCTGGGAACTTTTCTGACTCAATAGAGACAGGTAATAATAGAAAACAATACTTGGAACATTAGCCATGTTTCACAGTTCTGGAAAGGAGAATAAGGCATGCATACACACACAGAATAGGGCAAAAAAAAAAACTGTCAGGAATACACATAGTGCCAACTCTTGAGAGTAAGTTCCCTGGAAACCAAGCATGGAATCACTGGTAGGATCTGATATCCTCCAAGAGGAAAAAATACAATGCAAAATGTGGGGACAGATAGATCCATGCCATACACAGGAGCTTATATTAGAAGAAGAAGTATGGTATAATGAGATGGGAAAACAGTGTTTTGTTGAAGTCTGCCTTTTATAGAGAGATTGTGACATGGGACCCTCTTGTAGAAAAGGGAGCTGTATAAATACATATCTTGCAGACATGAATGAATTGTCTGGGTTTGAATACTGTTGTCCTTAAAGCGTTGTGCCCATGTCTATTACTTTTAAACTCTGTAACCACAAGTAGCTGCCAGCTGACATAAGTACTGTAAGGGCAGGATGTGTCTGGCTCAATATTTAGTTAAAATGCTGAACTCTCTGTCTAGAGTAAGGCTATAAAAAGGTTGGAAAGGTGTATTTGTTTGGGGATGAATAAAGGGGGACAATGAGGACTTTCATGATTATGGTGTATTCCTGTATGATGTATTTCTTAAAAATCAAAAATAGGAGCCAATAATAAAGCTGTTCATGTAACCTTAGTAAGAAAAACTCTGTTTAAGTATAAAGACAGCTCAAGCCACTCGAGTGCAATCCACTTGGTGGGCAGAAGTTTTCCTTACCCTGACACCCTTTCCCTGCCTCAAGGACCTGAACCCAAGCTGAGGCTGGACCCAGGAAGCTGATAATGGAAATTTCTAGATTTACATTTATTTATTTATTATGAACCAGTGTCAATGAAGCCAACTGATCATGGTCTAAAACCTCTTAAACTGAGCCAAAAAGTTCCCACTTTTAAATTTGATTATCTCAGGCATTTTGTCATAGCAAAGAAAGCTGACTATTAGAGTGGTTAGCAAATATTTCTTAAATACAACAGAAATACATAAACTATAGAGGCATAAATTATTGACTAAAATTTTAAACATTCCTACTTCCAAGATACTGGCAAGAAAACAGACAAGTTACAACTGGGCAAAAACACTTAAACTGTCAATCTTAGAAATAAGTTACAGCTAGAATATATGTTTACAATTCAATAATAATAAAAACCTAATACAAAAAGGGAAAAACGTACAATAGACACCTTGTGGAAATCACATAATCGCTAGGAAAATGCAAATTGCAACAATTAAGAGAGCACACAATATATATTATCTGAATGGCTAGAATTAAAAAGACTCTTAGCTTTTACATCACTAGGACAAATACCAGAGAGAAAAGATTTATTTTAAGTCATGTTTTCAGTCCAAGGTTAGCTAGATCCATGCACCCATTACTGTCAACCCCAGAGAGAAAGCTCTGCACTTTTCAAACAATAAAAGATAAAGGGATGGGGGTGGGGGAGTAAGGAGGGAGAAGAGGAGTGGAGAGTGGAAGTATTCTAGGCATCTAAATAAGAGCCCAAGTGAACACACTCCAAATGAGATTTGGAGGTAGGGATCATAACACTCAAGTTAATGGCTTGTTCCTTTTACTTGGGATTTTTTTTTTCCCAAGACAGGGTTTCTCTGTGTAGCCCTGGCAATCCTGGAACTCACTTTGTAGACCAGGCTGGCTTCAAACTCACGGAGATTGCCTGTCTCTGCCTCTCAAGTGCTGGAATTAAAGGTGTGCCACCACAGCCTGGCTCACTTGGGATTTCTAAAGTTATTTACTGTCATCTATTCATCTATTTGAAAAATGTTTTCAACATGTCAAACTTGTTAAATCAATCCTTAAATTCTACACTGTAGATTCTTTTTATTTATTTACATTCAAATGAGGAAATGTAGTCTTCCATAAGGTTAGCAATTACACAACCACAGCAAAATCAGAAAATAAAAAGAGGGGTCAGCCAGATGGCTCAGTAGGTAAAGGCACCTGTTACTGCCAAGCCGGGCAACCTGAGTTCAAACCACATGGTAGAAGGAGAGAACTATCTCCTGAAGGTTGTCCTCTGAGCTCCATGAACCTACTGTGATATGCATGCACCCACAAATTTACACACACATATAATAGGAATAAATAAAGTGATAATGTTGATTATAGACTTTAAATAAAATTGTGATGAATTATTAAGTACAATACAGGTTGTCGGTTGCCACAACTATCTTTCCTGATATACCAATGTTCTGTAAAATACCTTTTCAAATCACAGCATTCATTATAACAATAATTTTATCATCAGACGACGAATATTTTCAAATTAGTTTATGCCTACTGTTCTGTCTCCTAATTTAGAAATGCCCACATGCCTGTTGTGTGTCTGTTTAAGTGGCTCTGTCTACTGTGAAGAAGTTGACATTGATGCTGTGCCACCATTGCCAAAGGAATCAGCTTATCTTTATGCACGATTCAACAAAATTAAAAAGCTGACCGCCAAAGATTTTGCAGATATGCGTAAGTTTAAACTACAAATTTCTACATAGTTTTCACTTGCTACCTATTAATCTATCTGGAGATGATGCTGGAGAAATGGCTCAGTGCTTAAGAGTGTTTGCTGCTCTTTCAATTTGATGCCCAGAACTCTCCAGCTCCAGGGGATCTGATACCATTGTCTGGACTCCATAGGCACCTTACTCACACATGCACACAGACAAGCACACGTACACATAGTTAAAAATCTTTAAAACATCTGCAGAACAACTTTTAAAAATACTAGTCCCAAACTGTATTCATTACCATGAAAAGCAACTGCACTTCTTAGATGATTCAATAGAAACAGTTCTAAAACAGTGGTCTTTAACTCTTTGCCAATCAGCTTTTGGGCTTTCTAACAAACTTTAACTGAACTAAGGTGTTGTGGTCAGCATACTACTAATTCCCTTTTCTGCAACACCAAGTCCCAGTCCAAGATTACTCATTCCTTGCCAGTTTCCTAGATTCCTAGGTCATCAAGTGTTCCTGAAGAAAACCACAACCAAGAACCACACTGGCTTTACTACATTTTATTTACTTATTTATTGGAGTACAGCAATTAAGTCCAAGATTTGCCCCTGCCCCCAGCAAAAACAGGCAACTGCTTTCTGTAACACATATCCAGCTTTTTCAATTCTACATTTATGAGATTAAGCCTAACTGGATTCATGCTGTCACTAATAAGTCTAAGATGCAGACTGAAGGCCAGTCGGTTCTCTTTATATTTTGTAGATCCCATATTGGCAAATTCACTTCTCTGGATATGTAGTTCAGTGCTAGAGCACCTGCCTAACACAAATGAAGTCACAGGTTCAATTTCCAGTGCATTCATGATTACGAGCAGAAATTCACAGAACTACAACAACAACAAAACTGAGTTATTCAAAATACAGATTTCTAGCTAAGGTATAACAAGGCAGTGTTCTACTTTCAGTTGTCATAAAATGTAGCAGTGTCTTATTCAGCAAAGCTAGCATCTTGTTTTTCACACTTTTTTTGCTTTATATTGAAATTGTTAGTTGAAACAGCAACAATATAGTACTGAAGTGCCATCTAGTATTTCTAAATGCAGGCAGCAATGATGAGCCTATGCAGAAAATACAAGTGTTAGATAAATGTCACACAAGTATGAGTTATACCAATATTCATGAATCAAAAGAGTATATTAAGTTGTCTTTAAACAAACAAACAATATATACAGAGAGAGCATGGTTGTCAAAAAATGAGTGAGCAGAATCCCATAAGCACCTGCCTCTGGAACTCTCCTAGAAGCAATGGTTTTGTATTCAGTAGTTCAGCATTGCAGCAACTTTTTAGAAAAAGCTACTATGAACGAAAAGAAACCATATCCTAAAGTATCTCACCTATGCCACTCCCAGCTGAGGGGAGAGAGAGAAAGACGAATGAATGAGTGAATATGTCTCAATCTCTCAGTCTGTACCATGTTAACAAGTCAGGGAACATTTTTGTCTTTGTTGTTGTTAAGTAAGAAGGTAGAGATAAATTAATACAATGTACCCACAATTATAATAAAACATGCTGGCATGTTTTTTTAATTACATGATGAAATCCAATTAACCACTGTTTCTCCCTACTATGTGCAGTAAAAATTCCTTTGATATGGTTGTGTATAATGAATTCAGTTCGAATGACTATGAACTTTAAGATTCCTTCTGTACCGTACATTCTAGGACCACAGTAAGAAAAGGTATCATTGTTAGACACAGAAACATTCAGTGTTCAACAAAAGATTACTTATGGGTTTGTGACTGGAGCTCAGTGGTAGAATAAAGCCCCGGGTTCAATCTCCAGCACCTCATGAAAGAACAGCTGGAATTCCAGTACCAGGTTGTAGGTTAGATTACCAACACTGCAAGATGAACTTGACCGAGTTATTAAAACTGCAAATACTATGCTGGGCTCCGAACAGAAACTTAGGGCCTTGAGTGATCTGTTAAATACTTTTCTCCGGTCTACATAATGAGATTTTAACATTCTATTTATATTTATTTCTGTCAAGCTAACTTAAGAAGACTTGATTTTACGGGAAATTTGATAGAAGACATAGAAGATAGTACTTTTTCAAAACTGTCTCTGTTAGAAGAACTTACACTTGCCGAAAACCAACTACTGAGGCTTCCAGTTCTTCCTCCAAAGCTTACTCTACTTAATGCTAAACACAACAAAATCAAGAGTATTAAAGCAAATACATTCAAAGTAAGTACTCCATAGCATGACCGAACACAACGTCAGTGATTATATTTTAAGTTTTTATTATATTTATTTATTGTGGGTGGGCACATACCAGGTATACATGTAGAGGTCAAGGATAACTTGTGGAAGCTGGCTCTTTCCTTCCACTATGTGGCACCTGGTCATCAAGTTCCATTATGTGGAACTCACTCAGGTCACCAAGCTTGGCAGCAGTTAACAGATGAGGCATCTCATTAATCCAGTGGTAATATTTTTAAATTAGTGCTTGTTTTTTTTCCCATTCTCCTCCTCTACTACTTTTGAGGTATATTGCTACACAGCAAAATAAGAAGCAAAGAGAGCTATAGCTGGCATTTACCCAGGCAGTGTATTTTCAGAACTGGGAACAAAAAGAATATTGGGTTGCTGTGTGTGTGTGTGTGTGTGTGTGTGTGTGTGTGTGTGTGTGTGTGTGTGTATTTGGCAGCATTAACACAGTGGTAGAAAGAATGCTTGGCATGCTTGAGGCATTAAGTTCAACCCCAGCACCAAACAAAATCAAATAAACAAAACATGTATACCATCCATATATCATACAAAGGCATAGAAATAGTGTCTTCTATTAATGACAAAGGAATATTTTTATGTTTAAAAGTAAATACTAGGCCGGGCGGTGGTGGCGCACGCCTTTAATCCCAGCACTCGGGAGGCAGAGGCAGGCGGATCTCTGTGAGTTCGAGGCTGGGCTGGACTGATAGCCTCCAAAACAATACAGAGAAACCCTGTTTCGTAAAAAAAAAAACAAGACAAAACAAAACAACACAGAGAACCCCTGTCTCGAAAACACACACACACACACACACACACACACACACAAACCCACAAAACAATAACAAAAAATAAATAAATAATAGCAAAAAAGAGACAAGATCTCACACACTTGAAATTGCAGCTAACCAGGAGCCTCAGGCAATAGGGCCTAAAGTTTAAGACCAGTTTAGGCAACATCATAAGAGAATTCCTAATAGAAGGATCTAAACTTATCAAATTATCATTTATGGTAGTTTATATAATCACACAACCATTCTGTTTTAAAATTATTTTATTTTTATTTATATTTAAGGTAATCTTTCAATATTACGGAATTTTGTTAGTTTTGTTTCTGTCCTTATGGTACATTTATTGAAAATTTACAGCTGATATAGTTACACTATATATATATATGTTAATTATAATAATGTATAATATGTATGGTTAGGCATTTTCAGAACATGACAGGATGATCTAAAGAAGCAAACTATTAAAAGGTGCAGGGAAGCTTCCTTTGCACATTCATCTATACCCTTTATAGTGTAAGATAATGCTACTAACCCAGAAAATCTTGAAAGGAAGGCCAAATCAATATAACCTTTGTGAGTCAGGGTGACCTAGGTAGTTACATTTTTAATATTCTGAAGGCTTCATACTTTTCTGTTGGTTAGAACTGGATTCAGGAAGTATTTGTAAATGTAAATACAAAGACATTTGGGGAAAAAGCTGATCTTATACTATTAAAAAATACCTGAAAGATTGATTTACTGATATCATAAGCAATGCTGGTGATTTTGTTTTTTAAATAAGGGATTCAGAAATTAAGGAGTCTTTGCTGAGTTTACAAAGCAAACTTAAAGATGGACATAGAGGTACATACCTATCATTCCAGTACATGTGAGGCTAAGGCAGGAGGACTTTAAGTTTAAGGCCAATCTGGCCCACACTGTAAGACCATGTCTCAAAATATAATCCAAACCAAACCAGAGCAGACTCACTTTCTAAAACAAAATAAAAAACACACCTTGTGAGCTAGGTAGATACTTGAGCATGGAAAGGTACTAGCCTGCAAAGCCTAAACACACAAGTTCCATATCATACTTCTCTAATCTTTAACTTTCATGGTGGGATGGGAAGAAGAGACAAGCAAATTGATAGAAGTTCATGTGGTACAGGAGCAGAAACAAGAAGAGTCTGACTCAACAAGCTGGGGGGAGAAATGACTCCCCAGAGTAATCCTTTGACCTCTGCATGTACATGCATGGGCACACACACACACTCTTCAAAAGTTAATTTTGTAATCTACAGAAATTACGTAGGTGACTTTGAGTAACTAGTAGGTCACAGAATGTTTGGAGCAGGACATAGTGCAACTCCTTGTAGTCAAAGCTACTTGGAAAGGTAAGGTATCAGGATTGCTTAAGACAAGTAGGTGAAAGCCAGTCTGGGTAAGGTAGGACAACCAGGCCCATTTCAGAAAAAAAAAGGAGGGAGGGAGGGAGGGAGGGAGGGAGGGAGGGAGGGAGGGAGGGAGGAAGGGGGAGAGGTAACAACCACTAGTAAAATCAAAATACTATAATTCATATAAAAGGTAGTTGGTGTTCATATGGTGTAAAGGTAGAATGTTTAAAAAAGAACTGAGGGATAGAGAGAGATCAGGAGGTAAGGGTGCTTGCTGTCAAGCTTGGTAATCTGAGTTCGATTCCCAGGTCAAACAACTGCTGTGAGTTGTTCTCTAACTTCCTACATGTGCACTATGGCTTATGCACATGAACACACACACACACACACACACACACACACACACACACACACAAGTTTTTTAAAGATTGAAATAACAGCATAGGAAAGAATAAACAAGTGGTTCATAGTAGATGTAATCCCAACATTTGGGAAGCTGAAGAAGGAGGATGGTAAGTTTCAGGATAGATATATGATGAGAACCCACCCCCCAATAAAATGTGACATGTTAGCACAGGATGCATATAAAGATTAGGAGTAATGTAAAAAGAAATCACATTCTGAAATCATAGAGTACAACAATACAACAGTGGTACTGATCATAAATCCCGCATGGGAAAATACATGTCATTTTAAATTACACGTTTGACAAATTGCTTTGGGAAAGTGGCATCTTGCTAAGCACTGTCTCTTAGGAGTAGCCATTGTTCTAGAAATACATAAAACTTTCATGGAAAGCTCAGTACTCTCAAAAACCTCAAGGGTTCAACCATTGATCTTACACACAGCTGCTCCCTAGACAAATATTAAGGGCTGAGTATTAGGGGATGAGATGAATGGTCAGAGAAATATGGAGCATGAAATAGAGTTTTGTTAGATAGCAAATGTTTTAAAATAGAAAGACACTATGTATGAGGCCCAAAACCAGTAACAATCAAAACAACAAACTGCCACTCCAATATCGATGCTATTGAAAGGTGCCTTCATCAACATTGTTTTTAAAGTATACAGTATTTGAGTAATGTAAATAATGCATAGACCTCAGTGACATTTACAATTTTCTTTATAGAAACTGAATAAGCTCTCTTTCCTCTACTTGGACCATAATGATCTGGAATCTGTGCCTCCTAATTTACCAGAAAGTCTACGTGTAATTCACCTTCAGGTACAACTGTTCTTTAGTTAATTATGGGGCCATTTTAATTACCATCAAGAAAATCATTTGCAGTTTGATCATTTAATGTCTATAGAAGAATTGCAGGTCCAATCCAGAGTATACTAAGTAGAGCAGTCTAAGTATAAAATCTGTTATTAAGCAGAACATATCTTTAGCCATATTTAAGATTATCCTAGTCAGTCTGCTGTGGTTTTAGGTTAATTCTGAGAACTGAACACAAGGCCGTACACAAAGCAGAAAAGGTGTTCGCTCTATCACTGAGCATTTACATTTTCAAATTTTTATTAACAGTATTCTTCAGCTCCTTATTTCTCAGCTGAAACTGACTGGAGTGAGGAAGGGATGGGCTCCAGGCAGTCACTGTCACTGTTTATATAACTGGAAATCTTGGATCTGAGTACATGTTGGAGGCAAAACCATAGAGCATGATCACAAAGGCTGGGATGCCTGTGATATTTTGTGTTTGTTTGTTTGTTTTGCCATCCCCAGACGAGGGGATTTCCTTGATGGTGACCACAATGAGGACACTGAAGAAAACAACAGGCACATTAACTAACCAAGCAGAACTGAGACATAACACAGGAACCATAACCACAGTGGTAGAAATTGTGTGGTCTGTTCTAACAGGCCAAATTCAAGAGAGGTGAGCATCTTTGCACTACCTGGAACACATAATGCGTAGTGTTTTCTACACATTATGTAGAAATAATAGCTAAGTAGTCTAAAATTCAATTCTGATCCTGTAAGTCTATGGAGAGAGACCTTATAAGTTCACGATTCACTCTGACAACACTGTTCCCACTGCAGGTACAGTACAAAGCATGTGTTTGTTTTGCCTTGTTCTATATTTCAGTTTTCTACGGTGATCACTATGAGTTACCACATTATTATAATTTAAAATTCTGAAAGAGGGAAATCATCAACAGTGAAAGACACTCCTATTATCCAAGAAATTCCAAGTTCAATATCTTTAAGCTAAAATCTGTGCTGGCTTCCAGGACCAGGATTCCTCTCCAGCCTTCTGTAGTGTGGTAGAAGCAGGGGGAGGGACAGAGACAGAGAATAATGGAGGCTAAACAACCGGGATAACCTGCCAGCGACCGACACAGGTGTTACGTATCTCCTAGTTACTCTGAACACAGATTTGAAGAGCACTGATTTATGTTTCTTTCCCCAAATAGTGAACTCCAGTTTCTGATTTATGCTTCTTTCTCCAATTAGTGGTGGATATGTGCTTTTGGAGACGTTTTAACTTGTTTTATAGAAAAGGTGAAGAAAAAATGAAAGGAGCAGAAGTTAATATCTCAGCATCACAAGAATCTCAACTTATTCCTTTTCACCTTTTTAAACATATAGTACCATTTGTGAGTTAACAAGTTGGAATAGGATACTTTTTCTAGCTTGCATGTTTCTACTTATATTCCAAACAGGACTGAATAGATGCAACTTGGAGTAATAATGACTAGACTGTTATTCCAAAACAACACTGTACAATTTAAAATATGTTCAGGTTGCAAGAGAGGGTATGATTACTGTGAACTAGTATTTTTTAAAAATTATTTTTAAAAAGATCACATTTTAGGCAAAATATACTGTGTGATCCTACTGTATAATGTACAAAGGGATGATTTTAGATTTCTGAATATTTTTTTCTTTTATTTTTCAGTTTAACAGCATATCTTCAATTACAGATGATACATTCTGCAAGGCTAATGACACTCGTTACATTCGGGACCGTATTGAGGAGATTCGCCTGGAGGGCAATCCAATTGCTCTGGGAAAGCATCCAAATAGTTTTATTTGCTTAAAAAGATTACCTATAGGATCATACTTTTAAACACCATCAATGAGGTTTATAGTCTAAAGTACATGTACCTAACGTCTCAAGGAACATAAACATTAGTTTAAGATTATCATTTTAGCTCACTATGATAGAATTTTATGTTTAAACAAGTATGTCAAAAATTCTCATATGTAACTATAAAATAATCCATATTGAATCTCTTAGTTCAAAACAAAAAGATGTAAAACTAAACAGCACTAAAAACCCCTTGTAGTTTACACTAGACTGCCATCTAAATAGCATGCTTTTATACAAACACTCGCATGAGATACACCATTCCCATGACTAATGAAGTAAGAGAATTCCAGGAAACTTTCAACTGTTTGTCTTTCTTAACATTTACTGTATCTCAAAAGCATTTAAGGCAGATGTTCTAAAAAACTGTAAAAAGCCAAGTGTTCAAGTGACCTTCCACTGACTTCATGATTCATCCACATTCTCTAAAAAGCAGAAACTTTCTTCCTGTTAAGGCAGCTATTTTACTGTATTTCTCACTTAGCCTAAGAAAAAGGGTAGCCACAACTAGGCAATTTTTTCAGATAAAGTAAAAATTTCCCTTTGCTATAGAACCAATTTAGAAAAGTTCAGTTTTTTATTATTAATTTTTTTATTTTTAAGTTTAAATTTAGATTAGAAACATGGTTGGTTCACAAGTTAGTTCCAGAAAAGTTCAGTTTTTTTGTTTTTTGTTTTCTTTTGCTTTGTGGACACATAGATGGTCTTTAGAAAATTACTTTTAAAAAAACTTTGTAAGAAAAAAAATCAAAATTCTACCCACTTCTTAGAGAATATATGGTTCCTTCACTCTAAAGATTCTCAAATATGAAATAAATGTAAACTTTTCACAGTATAACAATGATTTAATCAATAAATTTGTCCAAAAATAAGAAATGTAAACAAAGTTCATTCTGTTGTACTGTATGTAGAACTTCAGCTGTACACACATTCACCCAAACAAACTGAATAACAACAATCCAGTCCATGAGCACCACTTCTCAAGAGCCATGATTTCCAGACACATGTAACAGACAAAGCCTGACCGTCAGTCTAATAGAGACAACTCAACAATGCAGATTAAAGTTCCCAAATTAACTTCAGAAGAAGGTATGTAGCCCACTCACAAATATAGTCCCCATATTACTTTGGAGTTGAACACAAAACTATCAATGTTTTAGAAATATCCATCTTTTATATATAAAAGTACCAATATCATTTCTATTATAAGGTACAAGTTAGAATCTGCATGCTTTTCCTAGAATACTCAAGCATTTGGTGTTTTGTCGCAATGCAGACTGACCCCTCTCACATCTGTTTTGGCTGACCTCAGATAAACTTTCATTAAAGCATCTGTGATCTGTAAGACTACAACTATTACTCTAATAATGTTTACCAGTTTATTCATTTTGTGTGCATGTCTCAGTTTCTCTGTGACCAAATGCTCACCAAGAGTACTGAACACAGTTCTATTTCTACACTTTTTTTTTTTTTTTTTTTTTGGTTTTTCGAGACAGAGTGTCCCGGTATTGTCTTGGAGCCTGTCCTGGAACTCGCTTGGTAGACCAGGCTGGCCTCGAACTCACAGAGATCCGCCTGCCTCTGCCTCCCAAGTGCTGGGATTAAAGGCGTGCGCCACCAACGCCCGGCCCTACTTCTACACTTTTATAGTACCTAATAGCACATTTGAATTAAATATACAATAAACATTGTAAAATCTACCCAAATAGAAGGGTACTGTGTGTGTGTGTGTGTGTGTGTGTGTGTAATATATATAACTAGTATATTCTTGAGTGAGTCATTTGAACATTGGTAGCTTATGTCTTTGTTACACACACTTTTATTGAAAAATAAAAAATGAGATCCAAAATGGACCAAGGAAAATAACACAAGTAAAATTATTCTTGATTCTACTCTATTACATAGGTGTTTCATTTTTGACAATTATAACTAAAGAAATAGCTATAAAATGAAAAATAAAAACTCATAATAGGATTGGTGATATGATTCAAAAGTTAAGAGAACCTATTGGTCTTACAAAGGACCCAAATTTAGTTCCAGCACTAACAACTCCAGTTCCAAGGAATCCAATACCCACTTCCTTCTGAACTCTACTGGCAATGCACACATATGGTATACTTACAAATGTGCAGCAAAACACTAATATATATACTGAAGATGAAAATGAGATATTTTAAAAGTTATTTATACCTTAAAAATACTGCAAAAGTGTACAAAAACCAAAAGACATATGTGGTGGTTCAAATAAAAATAACCCCATTGGCTCATATATCAGAGTATGTAGTGAAAGGAAGTGAAACTGTTTTAAGAAGGATTACAAAATATGGCCTTCTTGGAGGAGCAGCATCAGTGGGGGTGACACTCGAGCATTCAAGAGCCCATGGCAGGCCCAGTGTCTCCCTCAAGGCCGGCACCAGATGTGAGCTTACAACTCCTTCTCCAGCACCATTACTGTTTGCCTGGAGCCATGCTCCCTGCCATGATGATAATGGACCAACCCTCTGAACTGTAAGCCAGCCTCCAAATGAATGCTTTCTTCTCTAAGCTGGTCATGAAAATTCCTTGAGGGACTGCAGTATGGGAACTGTCCATCTTTCATTCTGGAGAAAGCCTTATGCCCGACAGATTTACTAATCCAATTGAAGAGAATGAATTTAATAATCATAAAAAGAAACAAATCCCAAATATAGAATTAGTACTATTCTTTACAATAGTAGCCATCGGTTAGGCTTCTGAAGGACTAGAACCTTGAAATATTATTTATGCTGATTCATCCAGAGGTTTTTGTGTGGCTCACAGCTGTTAATGACAATGCCATAGAAAGAAGTAGGACCTGAGGGATTAGAATACCACCAAACAACTTTTGCTTATGCCCATAAACATTTTTTTTAAAAAGTAGTCTTTAAAGTATTTCCATCAGACTTAAAACCATTACTTTATAAAAATCAGGCCTCAATATTTATACTCAAGATGTACAATAATCCAGCAACTTAACAGTATAGCATAGAAGTTACAGCTATATTGCTTTGTGACAATGTATAATAGGTTGCTTGTGACATGGTATACATGGCCTTGGCTGGCCTGGAACTCACTACATTGACCAAGATGGCCTCAAACTCATCCCAAACTGCCTGTTTCTGCCTTGTGAGTGTGGGGATCAAAGGCATGCACCACTACAGCTGGCACTATATATTCCTTACTAGCATTTATTCTTGTATTTTATGTACCTCTGAAAGGCTGAATTTTCAAAAATAAAATTTTCAAGTAAATTAGACGACAATGAATAGCCAATATAATAAAATTCCATAATATCAATTGATTAATACAGAAGCTTCTTACCCATTTATTACAAATAACTGTTCATTTATTAAACCAATGATAATATTCTCTATCCTTTGAAATTTAAAGCAAATGTGTATGGCATGCCTTTAATCCCAGCATTCAAGAGGCAGAGCCAGGCAGATATCTTTGAGTTTTAACCAGCCTGGTCTACATTGTGCCAGAACATCCAGAGCGAGAGCGAGAGCAAGGGGGGGGGAGGGAGAGAGGGGGAGAGAGAGAGGGGGGGGGTGGAGGGAGGGAGGGGAGGGGGAGAGAGGGAGGGGGAGAGAGGGAGAGGGAGAGAGGGAGAAAGGGAGAGGATGATATGAGTGTATTAACAAAATTAACACCAGCTTCATTTTCTAGAATATTTAAATGTAAAATCTTAGGACTTTAAAAAAATAAGTAAAATCTTCAGACTTTACCTTAAAATGCTTAAATGTATTCTTACGATATTCATACCACTCCACAAAAAAAATGTAGACTTCGAAAAAACATGAGCAAATCTCTTTTTTCTTCTACTCTGTAAAAGTAAAGTGCTATGATTAATAAGTATTATGAAATGATAGGTTCACTTAATGTTTATTTCTTATTTTTTCTATTGATGTGTGCTACACTAACACTCAAAATGTCCTTGGTGCCCTTCTATATGTTCAATCCTATACTTGTATAAGTGTTTGTTCTGTGACTGTTAATGCTAACTGCAAGAAACTACTATCTTAGTCTGGAATATCCTATACAAATGTTTGAACCTATCCAACTTTCAACCACTCAAATGCCACATTCTCCAGGGAATCATACTTGACAAATGGAAAACAATGCGCTTTCTGGCACAGTTTCTATCCTATACAAGTTCTTGAGTGAGAACCCTAGGCACCAGCAGGCTGGGGCTGGATACCAGAAAGGCCAACGACAACATTAGAGTAGGAGCTCTGGGCTAGCAAGACCCTATATGTAGTCCACTGTAGGTATTTATACTCCCATAGTTCTTGGTGGTATTTCCATTATCAATTACCGTATCTTATCATTTCACTCATAACCTTTATTCACGCTCCCTTTAAACAGTGGAACATCAGCATCAACTACCCTATCCCTGAAACACACTTCTATGCTAAAGAAACAGTGGAGGCCCACTGACCAGAATTAAAGTTAGCCTCTCCAAAGTACACTAGGAACTAGACAAGGTGGCATTATCTGTAAAGAGAAACTGCTTTTCTGCATGTGTGCTAAATTAGCTGGTAACGGAATGCTAGTCATACAAACAGCAAAAGCTAGCTAATAATGCCAATACTTCTGGCATCTAACCAATAAAATCTGGCTTTATGATAAAAAAGGAGCACTGGGAAAAGCCTAAGTACTCTTGGTCCAGCAGGCTGCCATTAGTAATCAGAAAACACTGGACGGGATAAGCATCATTGAATGAGGAGACAGGACAGACTGAGGTGCCACGTGTTTAGACTATCAAGGACCAGACCCCAGATGATTCTAGGTATACTATAGACAAAGATAAGTACCATTTGGCTTTGGTGAAGCAACACTATATAGAGAGGATAAATGTTGCCAGTCTACCTAACCAACAATGGATTCTCAACCCTGAGTAGTGCTATTTATGAACTCTCTGTGTTAGTAAGTTTTTTTCCCCCTTAGACTCCCTGTTAGTAAATCAGTATTCATTGTATCTCTCATGCCACCTCAAGGTGTTCCTTACTGTCTCTTGTCCTGCACAGCTAGGATGTTGGCACCAGGCTTTGTGAAGCAAGAAACTACTCATTATTGTATTCTTAGACTAACAATGCACAGTGCATAGTATCCTTATAATATTCATATTTTAGGTTCAGATATACCAAACTTTTTTCTTTGCTATTTTATAAGTAGTGTCAAATGAACAGAGTTGAGTAACCACTACCACAATCAATTTATAAACCAGTTTCATTAATATGGAACAGTGAGAAGAAATACAAGAGACTTCATGTCAAATCCTTAATATAAATAAATATTTTTAAAGTATTTGGGAGAGGAGTAGAAAATATCCTAAAAGCTCAAGCTGTCAACTAAGAATTCTATATCCACAAGAAAACTTTCAAAACTACAGATGAAGACTTTAAAGGCAATAATTTTTAAAAAGAAGCTAAAACAATCCATTACAAGCAAATTATTATTATTATTATTATTGCTTTTTGAGACAGGGCTTTGTGTGTGTGTGTGTGTGTGTGTGTGTGTGTGTAAAACAGCCATGGCTATCCTAGAACTGTCTTAGTAGACCAGGCTGGGCTCAAACTCACAAGAGATACACTTGCCTCTGCCTCCCAAGTGCTGGGATTAAAGGCATGAACCATCATGCTCGGCTTGCACATTTTTACTAGGAAAAAAAAAGGTAAGATTAAACCAAAGGCTGATATTATTAGGAGCCTATTCTCAATGTGGAAGAAGGAACATGTAAATGTCAAACAGGAACATGTATAAAAGCAGTATAAAGATGAAGTGAATATAACTAGAAGAACTAGTTTGAATTTACAACTCTATATATACATTTATTCATATATGTATATAAAAATCATATGATTTGGGGTGTGTGTATGTGTGTGTCTGAGTATAAGCACAAATTTTCTAGTTATGTTTCCTGAAAAGGCCAAGAAACAAAACACTCCAATAGCAATGAACCCATCATGTGTCAGATCTTGGTCTCTAAATCTAGCCCCCACTAAAAGTCCTCAGAGAAACAACTTAATCCACGGATAGAGCAGAAGGGGATTTATATATTACAATTCCTGAAAACCTTTTAATATCAAATTACAAAAAAACTGTTTGAAAATATGACAAAGTATTACATGACTGTAGGAGCCAGTTCAAACGAATTTCCAGTGGTCAATTTTCAGATATTTTGATCACCAACATATGTAAAAAGATTAAGAAATTATTTAACAGGTTTGGAGAGATTGTTCAGTAGTTAAGAACATTTGCTGCTCTTTCAGAAGACCCAAGTTTAGTTCCTAGCATCAACATCTGGTGGTTCACAACTATCTAGAGGTCCAGTTTCAGGGTATCCGATGGCTTCTTCTGTCCTCTGTGGATACCTGCACACAACAAACACACACACACACACACACACGCGCACACACACACACACACATACACACCCTCACACTTAAATTTTCAAAATAATCATCAAATACTTCATAATTCCACTTCTATGAGGTACTTGATGTAGTTTAAAAAAATCAAACAATTACTGGATGAAAGCTCTATGATAGTTGGAGTATTCACCAATCTGCTTACAGGGGTAGGCCAGTTGGGGCATCCTTTCCACTATTGCTAGGAGTCTTACCAGGTGAAAGGAGGGCAGGAGGAGGGGCTGGAGGGAGAACTGTGATTGGAATGTAAAATGAAATTTAAAAGAATAAATTATAAAAAAAGATCAAACAAACAATGTAGAATGACAGTAGTCACTGCATAGTGGAAACACAGAAGGGAAGTTATAGGGTTGTTCAATTGTTAATTAAAAATTACTTTGTCTGCTGGGCGATGGTGACACATGCCTTGAATCCCAGCACTTAGGAAGCAGAGACAGGTAGAACTCTGTGAGTCTGAGGTCAGCTTGATCTACAGAGCTAGTTCCAGGACGGCCAGACCTACACAAAGAAACTCTATCTCAAAAAATCAAAACCAAAAAAAAAAAAAAAAAAAAAGAAAGAAACAAAAAGGAAGAAAAATTTCTGAGTAAATAAATTACTCTCCAAAGAATACACATAAAAAAAAAGAAGCAGTTTCTTCAGTATGGCCTATAAATAAAGAGACAAGATTTATCTATTTTATATTAACCAAGTAAGCAAATACCAAACCCTTTAGCTTGTGATGAGTGAGCAAAAATGAATCTAATTATGTTTGTAGTTAATTCACTTAAATAGTATCATTCGCTCTCATACAGTATTGGCATTGCAAAATAGTATGATCATCTTGGAAAAAGTTTGCAATTTATTATAAACTTAAGCATACCAAGAATATCCTTATATAATTTATAATTCCAGTTGTGCTTACTTGCTCTAGGAAAAAGAAAATTTACAATCACTGGAAGTCTTGGGATGTATCCTCCATGAATGAGGAGCATGAAGGATACATTCCAAGGCTTCCAGTGAATGCCTAAAACCAAAATAATCTCAAATTTTACATATACAATGCTTTCTATACACATATAATAACCATAATAAAGCTAAATTTATTGATTAAGTACACTAAGAGACTAATAATAGAATAATTATACTGCAGTGACATATATTTTGTGTTAGTGTCTGGCTTCAGGTCTGTATGTGCACCATGTGTGTGACTGGTACCTTCAGAGATCAGAAGAGGGCATATGATACCAGGGAACTAGAATTACAGATAGTTATGAGCCACCATAGGAGCTCTCGAAAACAAACCTGGGTCGTTTGCAAGAATAACAATCACTCTAACTGCTGAACCATTCCTCCAGCCCCTACAATACATTTTACCACATGATACATACATAATTCTAATATGGTATATTCACTAAACTCTGAAAACAGCATAGATGTGATTTGATGGGTAAATGGGTTATTTCTGGCTTTGCCAGGAGTTAAGCGTGGCAGAGTAATAGTACAAAGAATTTATGTGTATATGTGTTGTGAGAACAATTCTTTTCTTCTTTTTTTAAAATAGAATCTCATTACATAGCCTAGGTGTCTAAGTTAGGTTTTTATTGCTGTGAAGAGACACCATGACCAACGCAACACTTACGAAGGAAAATATTTAATTAAGGTGTCTTACTTACATTTCAGTTTATTATCATTATGACAGGGAGCACAGTCATGTGTAGGCAGACACGTTCCTGGAGCTGAGAGTGCTGTATTTTGCAGGCAACAGGAAGTCGACTTGACAGTCACACTGAGGGAAGCTTTATTGAAAGAGACCTCAAAGTCCACCCCCATAGTGGCACACTTCCTCCAACAAGGCCACACCTCCTAGTTCTCTTGGGGGGGAGCATTTTCTTTTAAATCACTACACTAGGCAAACCCTGAACCTGTGATCCTCTTATTTTAGCTTCCCAGTGCCAGGGCTACAGACATGGACCACCATGCCTAAAAGTTTGGTTAGGATGGTTAATACACATAGTTATAAAGGTGGTCAACTCAGGGAGATGCAAATCAAAACAACTTCTGAGATACCATCTTACACCTGTCAGAATGACTAAGATCAAAAACACCAGTGACAGCTTATGCTGGAGAGGACGTGGGGAAAGGGGAACACTCCTCCAATGCTGGTGGAAGTACAAACTTGTACAGCTTCTGTGAAAATCAGTGTTGTCAATTTCTCAGAAAATTAGGAATCAACCTACAATACCACTTTTGGGGATATACCCAAAGGAATCACACTCAGACCACAAGGACATTTGCTTAACTATGTTCATAGAAACATTATTCATAATAGCCAGAACTTGGAAACAACCTAGATGTCCTTCAATCACAAAGGAGTATTAATCAGCAGTTAAAAAATGACATCATGAAATTT